CTTTCCCCCCCCCCCCCTCAAAAAAAAGCAAACAATCAAACAACGTCAAAAACAAAACACAAACAAAACCAAAAAGACCCAGTCAGACACACCGAAACAAATTGGGACCTAACCAAGAGTCTGGGACAGAGAGGCTAGTTTAGTGAAAAATAAGGTGGACAGACAGGTAAAATGTAAGGAAAGGTAGGAAAGGAAAAATCACTTGGAAAGATGAAAATCGCATATGTGCTTCTGATGACCCCATCAGATACGAAGTCCTCCAGGAAATACATATTTGAAACAGCCAGGAAAAACAAACATGCCTTTTATAGACTTACTTGTCCCGCCATGAAAAATGCAAACCTCTGTATGGTGCGTGTGTACCCAGGGGGTGGGAGGGAGGAAGGGGGAATAGATTTTGTAAAGAATCCGTTGAAAGCTACCTTCAGCAGAAATATTCATTTGCGCTGCCCTGCTCTCCAAAAATAGGCTGCAGCGTGAAAACCGAGGTAGCATTTGGAGCTAATGAGTGTGAGACGAACATCTCAGTCTGAAAAGTGACTGTCAGGAGCTCGTCTGGGTGTCAACCCAGGCAAGCCTGGCTGGCAACAGGGAGGAAGAAAAAAACCCGGGGTGTGCGAAGAGTTTTAAAAAGGGACTTTATCAAGTCTACAGTTTTTTTGCGAAGTTGGACAAATTCCAATAAATCATATTGGAAGAGCGATTTCTAGTTGTGCGGGAGTTTGGGTCTGGGCAGAGGTACTCCCAGCCGCGCGGCTCCAAAGAGATGTGGACGTGCTGGAGGGCGAGGGAGAGAGCAGGGAACTAGATCAGGGAGCACTTCAGCGGTAAAGGTTTCATCGTTCCGAACCCCGAGCCCCGACCACCCTACCTACGGAGCTGAACACAGAGCGGGCAGGCTCTGACGGGATATCTGATCCCACTCCCCACTTTTTTTCCCTTTCTTTCCCACCTTCTCCGGAAGGTGAGCATCTGTTCTCCCCGCTGCGAGGCCCGGTTTTTGCCCGGTGCTTCGGAAACGCCGGCGGCAGGTGCCCCGGGGGGAAGTGGCCTCCCCGGCAGCGGGTGAACACGCTGTCCTTCACAAGGACGTGGCGAAGGTGCACGGCCAGTCAGTCAACCGTGGGTGAGACATCTGTCCCTGCACACCTGGAGTCCTGCCGCGAGGGGTGCAGGTGACTGAGCACCTCTGGTTCAGTGTCATGCGTTTATTCCTAAGTGCCTGAATAATGGTCCCCGTTCTGTCACTGGAGAGCTG